AGCAGCCTAAGATTGTGATGGCAAACCCAGCTGTGGAGTGTCGCCTCGCTGGGACCGAGCCTGCTCCGCCACCTCTAGGCTGTGCCACTTCAGCTGGGGGCCTTCACCTCTCTGGGCCTCAGAGTCCTCACCTGCAAATCAGGGAGTGAACTTGAGAATTAGGTGAGGTCGTTTATGCGGAGTTTTGGCACTTAGTACGGCTGGCCGGGCAGTGGTAGCTGCCAGGAGTTAGGGAGTTAGGGCGCTTGCAGTCCTTCTTTGTCATCATTTGTTTACCTGACCGGCCTCCAGAGCCTGGGAGGGCCCCAGGGTGGGGCTGCGAGCCACACTTCTTTCTATGTTCAGCTGCCAGCAGTGCTGGCCCAGCAGACCTTGAACGAATCGTGTCAGCCTCGCTGGAGGAGAGTTAAGTGACAAACGATGGGTTGGCCTAGATGCCTTCCAACCCTGAAATTCTATGACCAGGAAATTACCCAGGAAAAAGTTCTCCTTGCTGGGTCCTTTCTAAGGTTTCTCAGTGGGACTTTATTACACACTGCAGGTAATTATAGGAGGCTTCGGCGGCGGAGAGCTCTGTGTGGCCTGGTGGCTGCTGGGTGCATTTTGGGGGCTATCATCTTTCCACTGTCCAGGCGATCAGAGTCTTGGTGGAGGCAGGGCCTCTCCCTTCAGCTAGCTGGGCGGTGAGAAGCAGCTGTGGCGGACCCAGTCTCAAGCTGGTGGCCTTTTATAATCTACCTTGGGGGATGGCAGGCCAGCATCTAGTGGCATGTGAATAACATCTGGAAAGTCATAGAGAACAGGAGCAGAGGAGACCTTTAGAACAGCCAGCCCAGGGGTCCTAGTTTCCTAGGCCCACAGGGGCCCTATGGGGAATGCCAATGGATAAAGAGATCTGGGTAAGGCAATAGGGAATAGTGGGACCTGTGGCAAACTGGAAATCTGACCAGGTTCTGTCCAAAGGAGATGACCTGCTGCTCAGCCCCAGGGGATTGTTGCTGCGGAGAATGCTAGCCCGGGGTTCCTGGACTGTCCCTTCCCTTATGAAGGGAAGCCAGAGTCCAGATTTGTGGTGAAGTTTTCTGATTTTTAAGTTACAGCTAATTGAAAGTTTTGTCAATTGCAGTATGCTGCAGACAAAACATCCTATGAGGCAACAGTTTCCAGATCCTCCGATTAAGCGCAACGTTGGAAAGATTGGGAAACTGAGGTTGAGAGTTTGGGGCCTTGCCAAAAATCACCAGAGACATAGGGACCCCGAGGGCTGTGAAGCATGGTCCTTCGTGGCTTAGTCTGGGTGTGTTGCCCACCACCCTGAAGGGTTCCTCACTGCCACCTCTTCCCAAGGCAGGAGCTGAAGCCCAGAGAAGGAATGAGGCTTGCTCAAAGTCACACAGCCTGTAATGGCCAAGTCCAGAGTAAGGCGGGGCTTTTGGGGCCTCCACTCCAGGACACCCCAGCCACGAAATGACCCTGGAATGGGTCCACTAAAAGCCTGACCAGGAGCTTGGCACAGGCCAGCTTCTGACTCGCTGCCAATCTGCAGAAAACGGCTCGCATACCAGTGGGCAGGAAGCTCTGGGTGCCCAGCGAGATCTAGTGGCGTGTTTGCTGAGCTAACACTTTTAGCCCTGAAGGTTGCCTAGCAGCCCGGATTCAGGTGCTGCCTCTGCCTTCTACCTGCTGTGTAACCTTGGACAAATGACCTCACCTCTCTGGGCTCACCTGCACTGAGGCTGACGCTAAGCGCACCTAATACAAGGTTGTTTGGGAGATTGGCTGGCTCGATCCACAGGAAGTGCTTGAAACAGTGCACCTACATTAATAAATGTTAGCTGTTGTTTGTAACGGGCCAGGCACGTAGTAGGCGTTCCGTAAGGACAATGACCTTTCTGTGTTACATCTCACTACTCTCACAAGGACCACATTTCATGCATGTCTACTCCCCCATGCACCTCTAAGGAAAGCCCCAAACCCAGATGATCTTTCATTTTCATCTTTAGTCAGCTTTAGCTTCCTGAGAATTTTCCAAATGTTGAGCCTTTAAAAGCCCGTAAGATGAGTATTTATTGCCAAAATGCACAAGTACATCAGAGGGCCTGAATTTGGGTGCTGGATGATGAAGGTGAAGTTTTAAAGGGGGAAACGGACGCGGTTTTCCTTTCTTTGCCCTTGATCTGCTGTGGCTCTGGCCGCTTCTGTTTATCACTTCGAGTTCTCCGGTTAGGTTATTTGCCTGAACCCCACAGTATGAGAACTCGGGAAGGAAGAACTGCAGAGCAGTCTCCCTCCTCTGTCCTTTCCCGATGACGGATTTTGCCCCGTGTCCCCTTGCTCTCTGAGCTGTCGTGGCCGCCCCTGAGCTGAGGGCCGCTGAGCCGGGCACACGAGAGTCCCTCTTTTCCAGAGGAGGAGGAGGAGGAGGCCCTAAGTGCTTTCGCCTCGGGTGCACGTTGCCCAGCGAGGACATGTTGGAACCTGCAGCTGTGGACGGAGGGCAGGGAGCCCCTCCGACGGCCCAGAGCCTGCCTCAGCTCACCTGTCGTGCGGTCCGGCAGGTCCTCGCCGTGCCTCCCGCAGCCTGGGCGCCGTTTGATGTGTGACGCAACGGAGGCCCCTGGGGCCTTCCCGTGAGAGCCCAGAGAAAGGGGAGCTGGTCGCCGGTCGGTTTATTCACGAGGCTTAACCTCTGACACTGAAATAGCCGAAAGGGGGTCTCGGCCTGGGAGCTCCAGCGGGGACAGGCATGCAGCGGGTTCCCCAAGGACAGACCTAGCCCAGAGGAAGTGACTAGAAAGGGACATCGTGAAGGGTCTGTTGCCTTTGCCAATTTGTTGGGTGACAAGTCACTGCCCTCCTGGGGTGACATGATCAGGCCCTGCTTCCCTCTCTGACCTGGTAAAGGTATCCTGTTGGCACAGCAGCCTCCCCCGCCTGAGCCTGCAGGCTGCATCCGAGCGCGGGGCTGCCCGGCGGCGTCACATGGACTCTCTCCCCTGCCGGAACGTGGCGGCCGGCCCCTGGCTTGGCGCGGCTGACTCACCCGGGCGCCCCCTGGTGCTGCCTTCCCCCGCACCCACTGCCATGCGGGGTGTTTACTGCCCTGTTTGATGTGATCACTGTTGTATCACCAGCATCCGCATCGGGGCCTGGCATGGTCCGGGCCCCCGTGAGTCTTTGCTAAATGACTGATGGCTTCTGGTCGTTTGTTCTAAAGCCAAGAGTCTGGACCAGGCGGTTGAAGAGCCTCTCTGTTCTCAAAAAGCTTCTCCGAGCGCAAGAGCCCTTCCCTTCCTGAGGGCCTCCGGCAGGCGGCCTCACACACGGCTCTCGCCCCGCCCAGCACAGCCGGAGGCTGGGATCCCGGTGTGCGGAGTACGGAGGAGGCCCGAGGAGGAGGGGCTCGGGAGGGCAGGGACAAGGACACGTCCACAGCAGGACTCCACCTTCAGCCTGACCCCACGGGGACCCTGGGACGCCCGCCATAGGGCAGGTTCCACAGTGAGGCAAACAGGGCCTCGTATAGCCCCCAGGTCTCTCAGTCACTGGGGGCTGCCCCGGGTGGTGGGGGCCAAGAGAGGGTTACACCGCCCAGCCCAGCCCAGAAAAGGCCATCCCACAGCGTCCCCTCTGGAGGGACCTGGCGCCTCCCAGGTACCCTGACCCTGCCCCACCCCCGCTCCCTGAGGACAGGAACACCTGAACCCGCCTTTGCAGGTGAGGTGACTCCGAGGGTAACCTGCTACCTAAGGCAAGCCCAGCACCTCTTGGTTACCAAGCCCCGGCCCTCCATGCCACAGCGGGGTGAGTGACTCACTGAAGGACACCTGGCCACTGCACACCTGGCCCGGAGGCTCACCTACTGGTAGGTGTGCCGGACTGTGTCCCCCAAAGCTTCCAGGTCTGTGGTGGGAGTAAGTGAGCAAACGACACATGTTGCTCGCTCTGGAAAGGAACTACTTTTAACTAAACTGTATTATGATTTTTTTAAAACCCTCCTTACACGCCGTTTCTGGGGAGACTGAGGGGCAGGCCAAGCCCGCCCCGGGCCCCGGCTCCCTCCGGCTGCCCGGGGCGGCCCCTGTGTAACATTAGTGTCCACGAGCCTCGGGTCATCATCCATTATTGACGTGCAGAGGGCAGAGAGCTCAGGTGAGAGGGACAGGAGGAAGCCCAGGCTGTCTCGAGCATTGAGCAAGTTCTTTTCACCCCCACCCCCAGGGGTAAGGCATTTTGCACACCTCACAGGTAACAAGAGCCAAGACAGCATGTGGCTGAAGCTGCTCTGAGTCCGCAGGGTAATATTAATACCAAGGGTATTATTGTCTTTTGTCATTGTTTAGGGTGGGCCCCTAGTCAGCATTCAGGAGAAAATTCTCGGCTGTCTGTTTCCTGCTGGTTAGAATCTCCAGAATCAGACCCACCCCCACCCCATGTGGTGCGGACGTGCCATCAGCCCACCCGCACAGGTCTCTGTGGGGGTGGGGGGGGAGCAGAACGGCTTTGACTTGACCGGCAGTTTCCAGCTGCGCCCTGGCACGCACCCCGCCTAGAACCCTGCTAAGCTCCCCCACCAACTGACCTCGGTTTCCTCCTCCGTCCCACAGGAAGCCGGAGCTACCGGGGGGACCACTCTGAGGTTTAACCACATAACCCGGCACCCAGTGCAGGAGAGATCTCAGAATTAGAGCACACTGTTCTGTCCTCTGATCTTCTGTCTCGAGCAGGAAGTGGTCCGAGGGATCACGCAGCGCAGGGCTTTTATGAACAGTTGGCACCTCAAAACCTGACACCCCGGTCCCCTGGCTCCCACCCAGGGCTCTGCAGGGGACTGCTGCTCTCCCCTCACCCAGCGGCTCCACGGGCTCTGTCACTCCCCATGAGCCCTTAATATTTGCTCTGTGTGTCTGAGCTGAGGACATTGCAGGCGTGCTGTGGTTAGACCTTCATGCCTTCTCCATGCGGTGAGTCTGAGCATTTTTTTCCCCTTTTTTCCTCAGATGAAGAAACGGAGGCTCAGAGAGGTTAAGGCACTGCCCCAACATCACACAGCTGGTAAGTGGCAGAGCCGGGATTTAAACCCAGTTCTCTTTGGCTTTAGGCCAGTGCTCTTAACTGCCTTGCTTTGTCTGCCTTAAACTGTGTTGAAATGATTGTCCCCCTTCCACCCCAGGGTGGGGGACCTGTGACTTGGGGACTGTTCTGTGTCTCCCTGTGCCTCCTATGGTACCCAGGTCCTAGCAGGCAACCCATACCTGTCGGAGGTTTAGAAAGAAATCCTGTCTAATGCCACATGCTCGGGCAGTGCCAGGGAAATGGGATGTTTATCTAATTATCAGAAAGTTCTGGTTAACGGAGGGTTTCCCCTTTCTATTGCATTCAAATACATCAAGTCACCAATTTGGACAACACGAGAAATGTGTTCTGCCCCAATTATAAAAATGACATGCTCATGAATGTATCTGCCCACTGTTTTGAGGATGGATGATTCTTCCTTGGCGATTTAGAAAGTAGGACCCCTGACTTCGTGGTCAGCAGGCAGGCAGGGAAACGGCGCAGGTGGGATCCAGCCTGGGCTCCCCACCCCTCATCCAGTTAGGCGCCCGCCAGGGGCTGGCTCCCCATCAGCCTGTCTTCTGCACCGCACATGCCTCTGACTCTGTTTGCGTCCTCCTGCCTCTCATGTCCCCTCTCTCCTGTCAGCAGGGGTGCCTGAGTCCTGCTCCCCATCTTTGAAACCCACCCTTCCTTTTGGAAGATTTCTTAGAAGCTGTTTCTGAGAAACCTTTGAGAATGAACCAGCCCCGCTTAGCAACATGGCTGCGAGGGAACTGCCTGATGAGGCCTCTGAGGTCTCCAGAGACACCGTGTGGGACTGGGGGCAGGAAGAGGGCGTGACGTTCTGGGGCCGCCCGCACAGACGGTGGGTGTGGTCTGATAGGGGCTGTGGTTTTCAGACCAGCTCAGGGGTGGTAAGAAGGCCCAGTAGCTGGGCTTGGGGTCTTCCCTGCCCCCGACCCCGCTGCACCTGGCGACGCTGTTTCCACCGCTGCTTTCCGCCTGAGTGTACGGTCCAGTTTCAGGAACATTTGAAAACCACTCTCTAACAGCCAGTGTTGTTGTCTAGAAACGCAGAGAGCAGGTCTGAGGCCTGCCTCTGCCAGATCACACTGTGCAGACCATGCCAGCCCCTGCCCTTGGCTGGGCCTCAGTGTGCCCACCCGTGGGGCCGATACGGCTACGGCTCCACAGCCCCTATACAGCTGGGGTAGCAATGAGCCTTCACGAAGCTCATGAAGATTTTTTTTTTTTTTTTTTAGAGAGAGGAAGGAAGACAGAGTAACATCGGTTTGTTGTTCACTAATTTATGCATTTAGTTATTTCTTGTATGCGCCCTGACGGGGGATTGAACCCACAACCTTGGCATGTTGGGACGCTGCTCCAAACAACTGAGCCAGGCGGCCCGGGACTCTGCACGTTCTTCCGTTGACAAGGCAGAGCCATTGAAACGGTGTGGCCGATGGTCGATACAAAACCCCTACCCCCATGCACACCTGGGTTCGAGGATGAGCCACCATGGCTGTCAGAGGCCACCCCGCAATCCCAGGGAAGTCTCCCCGTGGCTACAGGTTGTCTGGGAACCATACTCACGGGCCGCGCGGTGGGGCTGGGCACCCCATCATGTGCTGCGGGCCCCACATCCTGCCCAGACGCGGAGAACCTGGCACGCAGGACTCGCGCTTTCCTGCCCCAGCTCTGGGTGGCTGCACAGATGCACAGTGTGGTTTGTAGTATTTTTGGTTTGTTGTTTTTGCAAAGGCCAAAGGAAGTCTGCACACTGAGCTCTGCGCTCCCCACCCTGGTGACGGCTGATCTGCTCAGTGGGGAACAAGCAGAGCTCAGCCCGGAGAGGAAACCTCCAAACACGAGGTCCAAAGATCAGAGGCTACCCGCGCTGAGCTGGACGCGGTCCTGGGCTCTTCCTGGTCCGGGCTGAGTTAAGATGGACATTGTGATCATCCCATTTTCCACATGAGGGCTCTGAGGCCCAGCAACAACCAGAACCCCCCGCCTCTCACCAAGCACAAACCAGAACGAACTCTGCTCCCTGACTTCGGAGCGCTTTTCGCTCTGCCTTCAGAGCACCGGTATGGGGTGGGCCCTCGTAGGTTTTCAGCTGTTCGTAGGGAAAATGATACAATAATTACTTAATACTAATAACTCAAGAATAAACTGTATTTCTCGTACTCACAACTGTAAACCTACGTTTGCCCACGCCTGTAGTTGCTGAGGGTCTACCACTGTATCCGCAGGGGGCCACAGATGAAGTCCCTGCTCTCCTGGCCGAGGGGAGACAAACTAACAAGGAATTCCAAACACAGCAGTGTCATTTTGTGATTAGGGCTGTGAAGGAAAATGCAACCCAGCAAGGCGATAGTGATGATGATGATGGTGTCTCAGAGGGATCAGGGAAGGCCTCTCAGAGGAGGACATTTGGGCTGACCCAGGATGCAGTGAGGGAGCAGGCAGCCATGTGGATTCTAGGGTAAGAACAGCCATGTGGGGGGCAGGGGGAATGGCATGTGCGAAGGCCCCGGGGCAGGGCGTATGCTTGTTGTACCATCGCACCCTTTGATTCGGATTGTCTCTGTTTGCCTCCCCACTCTCCCACCGACACAGCTGCTACTCTGTATTGTCCCCTCCATCTGTCACCTCTAAGTGTCTGTAAGGGTCTGATGGGAGTAGTAGTTGTGTAGCAAGAAAAATCAGAAAGAACTGAATGGGGCAGAAAGAACGTATTTCTCTGATAGGAAACTGCCTGCCTCATGCCTTTGTCCTCTCAGCACGGTTCACCCTCGGGTGACATTTGAAATGGTTTCCTATTCTTGCTTTGTATTTTTGCGAAAGCTCGCGTTTGAACCAGGATTGTGAGTTTGTAGCTCACTATAATCTGCTATCTAAAGCCTCTCTTTCCAAACAGCGCAGGCACTTAGGTTCCAAAACCACAGAAATAGGGCAAGAAATTGTGTTGGAGCTCACTGCTGACCTCGAGCTGACCGCCGGAGAGGAGGCCCCAGGGAGCAGAGCCTGGGGTGTCGGTGGGGGCAGAGGCAGACAGACCTTGGTCCAGCCATGGCCATGAGCAGGCTGTGGTCCTGCACAGGACCGCCCCGTCTTGGCGGGGGTGGGGGTCAGTTCCCCCTGCCACCTGTGTTGGTACTGATACCTGTCTGACCCCCAGGCTGGGTGTGCTGGAAGGAGTTAAGGAGTTAAGGTCATACTTGGGGAGCTAAGGTCTCCAGGTTCTAATCTTGGTGCCACCAAAGACTCATTTGCCGCCTTGGGCAAGTCCCACCTCTTCCCTGAGCCTTGGATCCCTTAGGTGGCAGATGAAGCAGAAAAGTGAGGCTCTCACTGTTCCTATGTGACCCTGAAATGCCCCGAGCCCTTGCTCCAAGGCAGGCTGCAGCCAGGCCCGGGGACAGGGCCTCCTGGCCAGCTTCCCTTTGATTTCATAGAACTGGGGCCCGTGAGGAGGGCACGACCTTGGAGGTCCTGCCTCAGGCATTCAGATAAAAGCTCTGAGCCGCTCTCACTTCTCTCTGATCTGGGGCCTGCGGCTGCCAAGCCAGAAACACATCCATGAGCAGAGGAACAGCTCTTTTTCCTCGGGGCCCAGAAGGAGTTATTAAATCTTCCATTAACTGAATCTCATTCAGCTGGAAAAATAATAATCAGAAAGCAGTTCTGCCTGGTTACTGGCCTGTGAGCTCCTTGAAAGTTTCCCATAAGGAATGATCAGAAAGCTTCTGTACTGCGACACGCGGAGCCTGGCCTTGCATCCCCCGCCAAGGAACAGGCAGCCACCTGGAGGTCGACCAGCAAGCCCATCATCAGTCAGCGTCAGTGAGTGACCCATCTGTCCATTTGCCCAGTAAATGGCCCCCATGAGGGCTCAGGGCCAAGGGCCCAGTCCCAGAGATACAGAACAAATATAAGACACAGTCCATGCCCTGAACAGTCAGGCTCAACCTGACCACATTCTCCATTTGGTTGAATTCCAGAGAGTTCATGCTGAGCTCACTCTCAAGTCATAAAAATGCAAACATTAAGAAACTTTCACCTCTCTATGCTGTGTTTTCCCCAGTATCTGCCCCCAAATTCATTGGTTTATTATGTTCTATGTTTACTAACTAAGGCTAATGTCTCTCTTAAAACCAAATCAAATTTTCTTCTGGTCCATTTCACCTAACACATCTGAGTCTCTTAGGGATTCTGGGGAAAAGGGGAGGAGAGGGAGTCAGGAGTGTTCCCGGGGAAGAGGGTACCAGAGACGTGGACGTGACACTCACTAGCTGGGGAGAGGCACGAGACAGAAAGTCACTCCATCAACAAGGACATTTTATTGATAATAAAATACTCTAGCATGTGCAAAATAGAAGAGCATCAGTGTGAAGTCTGGGATGTGATTTGATTTCACATGCGAGCTAATAAGTTGGCCTGTCAGTGTTTCATGGATGTTGGAAGAAGACAAGAGAGTCCTGGGTCAGAGACGAGTGGCTGTGTTCCTCGCGGTGTAGCCGGCGGCATGAGTGTTAGGTTAGGGTCAGCTCCCCCCTTCCCCCTAGTCCCCGGGGGCCGGCCACAGGGCCCAAGCAGGCGTGGGCACACGGGCTGGGCTTCAGTGTAGCCCAGGAACACTGAGCTTGGGGAATCCACAGTGTGTGTGGCAGACAGAAAACAAGCCATTCCTTCACGTTTCATGATTTCTGGCTGCAAACACAACCCTGAAAAGTGATCCAGACAAAGCGCCCTCAGGCGTTGCATTCCCAGGTTACCCTGAAAACACGGGTGCATGTGAGGCCTGTGGAAGAGTCTTCTGACCCTAAGGTGGCACTGAAGAAGCCTGGACTTCAATGCTGGGTCGAACACCTACTGACTGTGAGATGAGGCAGGTGGCCATATCCGGGCTTCTTTTAGCCTCTGTTTTCTCCTCTGTAAAATGGGGATGATACATCCCTTTCATGTGATCATTAAAGGATATGTAAGATCAC